ATCCAAGGATTGGGTGTAGTTTGCAAGAAGTCGACAAGGTTGTGGTAAGGCTGGGGCTTAAGTTAGCAGAGCTCCCTGGCGGCTGACTGGAGAAGTCAAGAGGGGCCTGGAGATAGTGCCCAGGAACCCCTCCAAGAAGGGCTTTAGTGAGGTGGAAAAGCTAAGTACCGGGAGAAGAATGAAGGAGAAGGTTGGTGCCAATATGGGGAATCAGGAAAGATTTCAACAGGCAAAACATGAGAGGGAAGTATTAGGCACAGTGTGAACAAAGGCACAGAGAGAAAATAGGGTGTGTTTGAAAGAATCCAAGTTGGCTGAAGCGCATACTGGGTATGTGGGCATGAGATAAGACTAGAAAGGTCGGGTAGCCCAAAATGGAGGATGCCAGTTTGAACTCTTTTTTTTTTTTAACAAACTATGTTGTCCAATTTTATTCTGCCAAAACTGTTAACTTCAATTAATTGGATGAATATTTATAAAATATAAAATACCTAGATTACCGAACAAAGAGATAAGGAATTTATATAATGCAAACAACAACAAAAATTGAAAAGCTCATAAGGAACCCCACTCAAGAAAAAATACCAGAACCAAGATGGACTGACAAATCACATTAAATAATAGAATAATAGATATGAAAAAGAATAGAAGAATAATAAAGAATAATTAATTCCATTATCATGTAAATTATTTGCACACATAAGAGATACTACCAAACTCCTTCTAGGACATAGATTTGGTAATGATGCCTAAACCAGGAAGAAAAGAAACAAAGAAACCTAGAGACCAGTATCTCTAATGAGTACCAATACAAAATTAACAGTTTGAACTCTTCTTGGTAAGCAATAGGGAGCCACTGAGGAGTGATAGGACAAGCCAAGTCAAGTCAACGAACATTTATTAAGCTCCTACTATGTGCCAGGCACTATGCTAAGCATTGGGGATCCAAAAAGAGGCAAAAGCAGTCTCAGCCCTTAAGGAGCTTACAATCTAAAGAGGGAAACAACACCTGATTGTGTATGAGCACACTACAGATGGAACAAATTGGAGATCACCTCAGGTGAGGGTAGCAGTACTAAGGGGGACCTGGAGATGCTTCTGGCAGAAGGTGGCACTTCAGCTGAGGTTCAAAGGAAGCCAGGAGGCAGTGACAGGGAGGAAGAGCACCCTGGGGATGGGGGACAGCCATTGAGGATTCAGAGATGGTAGATGGGTTGTCTTGTGTGAGGAACAGCCAGGAGGCCCGAGTCACTGGGTCAAAGAGGGTGTGTTGGGAAGTAAAGTGGAGGAAGACCCTGAAGGGAGGAGGGGGCAAGGCATGAAGGGCTTGAAATGCCAAACAGAGCATTTTGTATTTGCTCCTGGAGCTGATAGGGAGGCGCTGGAGTTAATTGTATGGAGTGTGTGTGTGTGTGTGTGTGTGTGTGTGTGTGTGTGTGTGTGAGAGAGAGAGAGAGAAAGAGAGAGAGACAGACAGACAGACAGACAGACAGAAAGACAGAGAGAGACATGGTCAGACCCCAGCTTTAGGAAGTTCAGTTCCACAGCTTAATAGAGGATGGACTAGATCAGAGCAGACTTCCAGCAAGCAAACCCTCCAGTGGGCAGTGGCTACAGTCCAGGGCATGAGGTGACAGGGACTGTACCAGGACAGTGCCAATGTCAGGGGAGAGAAGGGAGTGTAGATGAGAGATGGTAGGAAGGTAGAGTCAACAGACCTTGGTGACAGATCAGATACGGAGAGTGAGGAGTTGCAGATAACATGGCGGTTGGGAGCCTGGCGCCTGCAAGGATGGCGGTATCCTTGACAGGAATGAGAAGGCTAACAAGAGGCAAGGGAAATGATGAGTTCTGTTTGGGATGTGTTTAGTTGAAAATGTCCATGGGACATCCAGTATGAGATGATGTCCATTAGGCAGCTGGAGATGCAAGACCGGAAGCCAGGAGAGAGATCAGGGCTGAATCTATAGATCTATAGGCCTGGTAGTAGGATGGAAGCTAGATTAGAACTGGCCAGGATGATGGCTGAATTCTTAGGAACTGATGAGGTCACCAAGCAAGATAGTATATAGGGAAAAGAGATGAGGCGCAGGACAGCCTGCTGTTGTACTGGTATGTGACCGTGGGCAGTCACTTCACTTCATTAATGGTGGGTCAGATTCTCTTCAGGCCAAAAGGGCGGGGGTGGCAGCGGAGGGGGGGGGCGCCAAGAAATCAATCTACATTTAGAGATGGGGAAAATTCCAACTGAGGTGATTCTAGTCTGATTTGGGTGGCCAAACTCAGGATGGCTGCCATAATGTTGAGTGAAACCAGTGGAGGGGGAGAGCAGTTTTCATCTGCTGGTTCACAGGCTAGTTTTACAACTGGTCATCTACGGGGGCCCTGCCCCAAGGGAGATGCCAGTACTTTGGATGATGGAAGTACCATCTGCAGTCTGTGGCCTGGCATGAAGTGGCAGGGATTGGTGGACCGTGCTATGGCAGCTACACTAAGGGCTCTGGTGACTTGGCTGGGTTTAATTCCGGGGGCCATAATGTAGGAAGGATCCTGAGAAAGTGGAGAAAGGCCAAGGAGGTGAAGAATCACTGGCAGGCCGGCGATCAAGGCACATGAGGATGTGCCAGAGGACCTGGGCAATGTTTAGTCTGGAGACAGGAAGGCTGGGGGCAGTGGGAACGGGGGAGGCGGACAGGGAGAGATGGACAGGGAGAGGCAGACAGGGAGAGGCGGACAGGGAGAGATGGACAGGGAGAGATGGACAGGGAGAGATGGACAGGGAGAGGCGAGGGGACTTCAAGTATGATATCTATATGAATAATAAAAAGGTCAAGGAAGAGGGATTGGCAGGTGTTCTCCTTGGCTCCGAGGGCAGAACTGGGAACGATGGCTGGGAGGGGCCCAGCTGGGGAGCTGCCCTCCAGCAGAATGGCTAGCAGGAGGTGGCAGAGGCTGAATGCCTACTTGACAGGAATGTCATTCAGGGGATTCCCGATTAGTCCGGAGTTGGGCCAGGTGTCCACACCCTTTTGTCATAGAGTCTGCAATTCGGTGGAATGGAATGAAGGCAGAGGGCATAAGAAGTTTGCCTTGGCAAGAAAGAGATGACCCTTCTCCTCTCAGATGTGGGAGAGGATGACAATATAGGAAGATTCCAAGAAGATGAGGGGGATTGTTGGGGAGCGTTCACCCTATGTCCAAAGGCTTATCAGCAAGGTCAGATGGCCTCACCTCCCATTTTCTGGACTCTAGCAGGCTTCACTAGAGGGAGAGGTTGTGAATTGCTGCTTCGGAGAGTCAGGGAAAGCACCTGTCGAGGTAAGCTAAGGGCCCTGGGGAGCTCCAAAGCTAAAGCTGGTCGTGGGTGACTCACTTCCTTTCCCACTTTTGATTCTCTCCCATTACAAAGAATGGCTCGTTGGCACAGAGTTGTTTGGGCATTATCTCCACACATAACTGTAAACTCCTTGAGGGCAAGGACTGTCTTGCCATTCTTTGTATCCTGAGGCTTAGTACAGTGCCTGGCACATAGTAGGCACTTAATAAATGCTTATTGATGGACTGACTTTCACCAAACCATCCTTAATAGAAAAGGAATGGGGAATGCTGGGGGAGAAACAGAACAGTGCTGATTACTTAAAGTTAGGAACGCATTTAAAATCAGTATTTTTTTAAAGGGCCCATAATCTACTTCTAAGGGATTAAAAAAAAAAAAGTCACCAACCACTGAGCCTTTGAACAAAGGAAAACAAGCCATTGGGGCTAGGGAGCCTCCTGCTCTGGGTGTCACATAAACATGGGGCAGCCCGGGAGGGGGGAAGGGGTGCTGGACCTGGGCCCCTCGCTGGGTGACCTCGGGCAAGGCCCTAACTTACTCCAAGCTCCGGTAGCTGCCTAGCAGAAAAGGAAGGCGGTTGGCTAGAGGACCCCCGGGGGGCCTTCGTAGATTTGAGGCTCTGGGACCCTATTGGTGGGAGGAGAGCAGAAAAGGGTCCAAACCCACCATATCACCGGGAAGCTTCCTACTTGTCCAGGAGGGAGCTTGGCCTTGGGGCGTAGACCAATGAGCTGTGCCCTGAAGGGCAGGTGCTGAAGGCAAGATGGGTCTGCCTGCCTGGGAGCAGAAAGCCTGAGGCCACCATGGAGGTCCACATCCAGCCTGAACAAGGAGGTCATTGTTTGGGCCAGGCCTGAGGAGGGGAAGGTCAAGGTGATGCTGGAAAAGCTTTAGGCCTAGGGCCTGCAGGGAGCCCCCACATGGTGCACAAGCTTGCCAAGATGCAGTCACCCCAAAATGACCTCAGTGAGTAGGAACCTGTGGTCCATGATTGGTGCCTGGGGGGAGCGGAGAGAGAGGTGGAACACAATGGAACATGAGCTGCTCTCTCCAGGGCTGGGGTTTTTTCCTCTTTCTGCGCAGAAAAGAAACGACCTACAGGAAGCTGCTCTGGCTTCTTAACCATAGGGAGGGAGACCTGTGAGAGAGAGCTGGGCCCCAAGTGGGCAGCAGTGCCCCAAGGAGAGTGACACAGCCAATTAATGGTAGAGGTTGGCTTAGGACCTCGGGCCCGATCTCTAGTCAAACACTGGCTCCTTCCTCTCATCCTGAGCTTGGGGCATGCCGGATGCCCCCAAACTGGCTTGGGGCTGGGGCTGAGGACAACTGGCGGAGTTTGGAAGAAGCTCTCTCCAGGGAAATGCCTCTTCTGGGGATGGGGGGACGGCGGCACTGATTTATGAAAATAAGCAACTGCCTCTGTGGCGCTGGCCTCAAAACATCAGACTCAGAGAGATGGGGTATCAATACGGCATCTGGGGGGAGCACTGCGTGTCCTAAGGAGCTGAATTCTGGGTGCACTCTTCACTTTGGGCTGGCAGTGGGGGAGGGGCAGAAGTGGCACGTGGGGAAGTGGGCCTCTGGGGGGACTGGCCACTCAAGTCCTGGACTAGAGCCCCGACGTTCCTTGGGCAGAGGGGTTGTGAAGCAAAGGTATCAGGGCTCATTCTTCACAAACACATTTATTTCTTTTCATTTTTAGTCCATATATCGACATGATAACTTGTAGACGATATTCACCGCTATTATACAATATTTACACCAGTGCCAGAGGGTCATAGATGGATAAGAAGCAGAAGCATGTGTAAGGCTGATTTTAGGAAAGGGCTGTTAACCAGCAGCTCTCGGCTCGGGGACGGTGCTTCTACTCCCATTTATCCATGTCCAGAGCATTCAGGCTCACTGTGGCTTGTCTGTGTACAGGGCAGAAGCTGTTACCTACCATCAGCGTGGGCTGTCTGTCGATGGTGTCCATGGCTATGATCTATCTCCCCCTCCTCCCCCACCACCCTCCTCTTCTCCCCATAGGTCAGAGTTCCCATCATAGAGCCCCAGGAACCTCTTCGTCAGTCTTAGGCCATGGGCAAGGAAGAAAAAAGTGGGGGTGGGGATAGGGAGGGCTTCTTAAGTTCACTTGACCCAATTTCTAGACAGGCTGAGACCCAGAGCAACACCAAGGCCTGGAAAGGCCTTGTTTTCGAAGCTGCAGGGAGGCCTTTTAGCACCTTATTTTACAAAGTCCTTCTCAGTTGCCTGGTTTTGTCAGGGTGCTGCTCCTGGGTTCTTGAGGGCTCCGTGCCTGGGTTTTCTGGACGCTTGCTGTCAAAAGGCCAGCAGGGCTAAGGTCAGGAGACTCTCAGAACCAGGTCAACTACAGGGGAAGGAAGTCTCTAGCCATGGCAGCTCTGGAAGCCCAGCCACTGAGTCCTACTGGAAGGAAGGAAGACCCATGTTTCAGAACTGAGATAATAAGACAAAACAGTTTGGGCTCACAGGTGGGAGGTTCTTGCTTGCACGGTATTTCTACAAAGTGAGCGGCAAATATTCCCTCTTCTGGCAGCAAGCAAGTTAGCATTCAAATGCTCTAGGAGACAGATGCCCAGAGCGGCTACATGGTCAAGCAGTCCTGTCGGCCAAACGTCGCTTAGTGTGCGACTCGGAAGGCGACGGGACCAGAGGAGCACAAAGCTATGGGTCCGGTTATTGGTCGAGTGGGAGCCAGCGGCGTGCTGTGGAGGGGGGGGGGGCAGGGAGGACCTGTGGGACCCTGGACAAGTCACAACCTTCCAGTGCCCCAGGCAACTCTCAAAGACGTGAAGATGCAGTGAATGGTGGATCTGCATCATCGGAGGGAATTCTAGATTTGGGAGTCGCAAGCACAGATGAAATCCTAGATCCAGACTCCCGCGTCCTCCTCCTCCCACCAAAAAAAAGGGGAGCAACACGTGGAAAACGTGGCCAGGGTCACTCAGTCTCTTGGCAAGAGGGCGCTCCCTCATCCAGACCAGCCAGATTGGCTCCAGCAGCACAGACATGGCCTCAACACGATTAGATAAAAGGATGTAGCGCTCGGCAGAGCGGCAGCGAGCGCACTGTGGACACAGCAGCATTACTTGATAACATAATCGGGCAACGGGTGCTGGGGATGATTGCATTGGTGGTTCCCAGTCAGTGGCCTCAGCCATTCCCTGGAAAAGCCCCTTGCTCTGGCCCTGAGGTTTTGCCCTCCGGCCTTCTGAGGAGGGCCACGAAGAAAGCAAACATGTGGGGTGTATGCAGGCAGGCACATCTACAGCGATCCATCTTGAGGACCTCTACCGGGCAACCAAGGGCTGCGTCTCACATTTCTGAAGGAGAAAAATGAGAGAGTGGGTTCAGCCTCTGGAATCCGGAATCAGCTGAGTCTGAAACCCAAGTCATCTTTGGTGCGATGCCACAGGGGAACCTTCTGCTGAATGCAAAGGCAAGGAAACCCTTCAAGGAAACCCACGGGCTCATGCCTGGAAGGCTGGTGTTTGTGAGGTGGGGAAATGGCTGAACCAGGATGCCCCCAAGGTGCCGAGTGTCTGGGTTCCACATCCCCTCCCACCAGAGGAATGATCCTTAAGGAATATGTAGTCTCAGAACCAACTTTTATTTAAGAGTAGGAAAGGCCCTGACTGCAGGCTGCTGGCTCTTCTCCTCCAGCTGAATGGGGGATCAGCCGCAAGAGAGACTGGGGAAGGCCCAAGACCCACCATGAGGTACACCACATAGGAAACCTCCAGCTGTAGCCGCTAGGCCTTAGGCCTTCATGGTCTGTCTTTAGAAGGGGGCTGGGAGGCAGGGTTCCTCTTTGGGCTCTAACCTCTTGGCCACAGGCTTCATGCCTTTATCCTGCTTTGCCTCTGAGCTTCCTGAACAGAGTGACATGGTTAGGCCTGCACTTTAGGGAAATTCCTTTGGTGGCTATATAGAAGATGGATTAGAGCAGGGAGAGGCTGGATGGAGGAAGGAAGTTGAGGCAATGGTCCAGGGCCAAGTGACAGGTGGTTGTGGTGTGAATGGAGAGATGTGGACAGAAGGCTGTTAGACTGAAATGACTTTGGTTCAGGACTCTACATTTATACCAAAATCCTCTTTCCAAGTCACTGGCAAATCAGCCAAGGGCTAGAGCCATCCCATGTTCAAGCTGCCATTTTTCTCAAATTGCAAGGAGAACGTTGGCGAATGGACTCACCCTCCAGCTCTTTGTCGAGGTCAGCAATGTAATCCTCCAGGTCCTTTGTGTCTCCAAGCTTAGCTACCCAAACGAGAACAATCAGACTGAGCACTAGCTCCCAGACCATGATTCACGCTAAAGGGCTCCAAAAGCCGTCTAAAAGGACGTGGTCTTGGAGATTTCTGCCCAGGGCTATAACTTGTAGGAGAGAAGGTGTCTTGGGACTTGTCTTGATGATCAGAAATGCCCCCAAGAGCCCTCAGACCCAAGGCCTCTCTCCAAAGGGAGCTCTGCTTCTCACCCCCTCAATATCTACCAGGTTGGAGCCATTCCTCCCCAACACCTAGGAGTCCCTGAGTGCCTAGTCAGGGCCTTCCCGGACAGGGCCTGACTGACCCAAGCCCTTCTTGCCTCTCGCAGCTCCTTCTCTGGTCCCCTGCTAGACCCCTTGAGTTCCAGGGGGCCTCCCATGAGGGGTGCCCACCATGTCTGCACTTAGTACTTGAGGTGAAAGAACGGATCAGCTCTGCATGCAGGCTTGCTGCTTCCCCTCCTGAGGCCCCCACCTTTGGGAGCTGGTGTTCAGGGTCTCCCCGGCCCCTCCTCTGGGCCACAACCAATCACTCAGAGCCCACTGTCCTACTTTCCTCCTAAATCGATTACCTTGCACATACTCTCCCCACCCCCACTACCCCTATCTGTCACTTTCCCACCTCTGACAATGAGCACCTACTCTGTGATTCTTACCTTTGGGAACAGAAGAAGTTGCTGGCATGTGAATGTTTTCCTCACTGGTGTTTAAGCTGCTCCCTGGAGATGGGCTGGTACCTGCAGGGAGAGTCTGGTCAGTCATGACCCTTCCCAGTGAAACAGGGGCCCATGGCAGGCTGGAGGCAGGGAGGAACAGGTGGGTCCCGAAGCAGCACCATCCCTGTCCCAGGTGGGCTGCCCCTTTCAGGGGGTGGGTGCTGAGTCAGGAGTGCCTTTGAGCTCCATCGAAGAGGACAGCCCCAGCGGTACCCTCCAGTGCTTCGCAATCTATCCTGGGCCTAAGACGGCGGGCCAGGCCACGACCCCCCAGAAAGGTCCAGGACTTACTCTCAGCCTCATCGATCCCACTGTCATAGACGCCGAGGCCGAGGCCACTCTTCTGCTTGAGCTCCTCCAGATGTTCCTCATACTGACAGCTGCTGCCGTTATCGAAGTCTCTGATCACTTCGTCTAGCTCTCTGAGGAGGCAGTGCAGCTCGTCATCTCCCAGCCCTGAGACAGCAGAGAGGCCAAGGACAACGGTCAGCCTGCAAGGCCAGCCCCGGGCCACGCGCTGCTTCCAGGGGCAGCAGGACTTGGCCGGGTCTAGAAAGGCCATTTGTTTGGCCTGTGTGCTTGGAGCCGTCCGGCTCCCTACCTTTCTCTTTCCCAAACCTCATATTCCAGTTGGGGCCTGCATGGGAATTGATGAAGCACTGCTGAGTGCCTGCTGTGTACCAGGCACTGGGGAGCCAGCAGCCAAAGTCAAACAGTCCCTGCCCTCGGGGAGCTTCCATTCTAGACCTAGTTAGAGGAGTGGCCAGGTGCTGGGGTGCTTGGCCTGGAGTCAGGAAGACAGGAATTCAGATCTTCCCTCAGTTACTTAACTAGCTGTGTAACGCTTAATGTCTCAACCCTGAGGCCTCAGAAATGGGGATGATAATAGTACCTGCCTGTCAGGGTTGTTGTGAGGATGACTGGGAGGCCATCTCTGGAACTTTCCGAACCTTAGGGCACCATATAAATGTGAGCTTTTAGTATTATTATTCCGGAAGGGAGGGGGAGATAACATGTGCACAAAGGCCTGGGAGGGAAGGCTGATCACTACCAGTTGGGGGGGGGGGGGGGGGGGGGGGGGAGCAGATCAGGCTTTCCAGAAAAGGTGGGACCTGAGCTAGGCCTTCGCTAGAGGAAGGAGTCTTCATAGAAACATCAGCATTTGGGGTGAGAGGGAGGTTCTCTCTCTCTCTCTCTCTCTCTTTACCATCTGCAGCGATGGAGGCAGAGAAGGCAGCAGGGCGTAAGCTGTCTTTAAACATTAAATTAGCTGTATGGGATCCCCATCTAACAACCCCTGGGGCCATAATGCAGTACTACTGTGAGGACAGAATCAGCTCAATCTGGAACAAACCCAAAGACAGGCCGATCGGGTAAAGAGAGCAAGGGCTAACGGATGGGTAGCCTACGGTAGCAATTGAGGGGGGCAGCCACGGCTATCCTGGCCACATAATGGCCCCTTCCTCCTGCCTCCACTGGGTGCCCCCCCCCCACCGCCCACCCCCAGGGACATTTATGGGTGGCCACAGCTGAGAGTCACTCAGGATGAGGAGCAGGCTTAGGTGCATCGTTGAGGGAACTTCCATATTAATAAGATTAGGGACCCATTGGACCACAGGGGCAGACTGTATTCAAAAATGAACGCTGACCAGGAAGATAACCAACCTAATTTGCTAATGATCACTTACATTTCAATTAATTTTGGTCTAGAAGGCATCAATAATTTTTCAGTTCCTATCTCTCTGCCCTCCCCTGTGAAGTTTCCTTAGCCATTCATTTCCCACAGGCGCCTCGTACATGGTGATACTTAGCATGCGCTCGATTTTCTTGTGTCCAATTGGTTTTGGGGGTTTTTTTGTGTACTTCACACCTGTAACTCTTAAATACACTACAGGATTCCTTTAGATCTGGGGCTTTATCATAACCTGGGGTCTGTAAACTTCTGTTTTTAATATTTGCAATAACTACTTCAGTAGACTTGGTTTCCTTAGTAATTCTCCCTATTGCTTTTTATGCATTTCCCAACCTGATTGTGAGCAGGGGTCTGTTGGCTTCCTGGCCTGCCCGAGAGGTCCAGGTGACAAGCAAGGTAAAAAAGCCCTGCTCTCCATCTGTGGCCCAGTGGGTCTTTCTAGAATCCCCCTGGCCCAAGGTGATCCCTCCTTTCACTGCACTCTTGGGCGGACTAGCTCCTCTGTTCACAAAAGGGCATGGAAGTGATGGGAGCCCCATGAGAAAGGGTAATCCTATGGTAATGAAGCTGCACGGGCCTCTGGGACCAACAGAGTGAAAGACCTCCTGTGCCCTTCTCTCTGGATGGCCTCCTGTTGCTGGCTTGAGTCTCCCATCCCACAGGGTTCTGCCTTTTGTGTGTTCACTTCCCTTGTGGCTTTCTCAGTGTGGCGCATTGAACAGAGATGAGCACAGTGGGTGGGCCCTGCAGGAAGGCGCCAAGCTCCCTAGGCCAAACCAAACTCAAGGAAACCATCCCTTCACACCTGCCTGTTTGTCAGGGCCCCAGGAAGTCTGCTTTGGCTATTCTGGACTCACCCCTAGTGATGGGCTTCGAACTCCTGGAGTCCCACCTCCACCCCCCAGAGGAGGACCTCAAGTGTCTGGGCCTCCAGCCCAGGGCTCTCCTTCTCTCCCTCCAGGCTGCCCCCTTTACCAGCTGGTTAAGTTTAGAAGTGCCAGGACTCACGGGAATTTATTATGCTTAGCTCTAGAACTGGAAGGGACCCTAGACAAGACCCAAAGAGATAAGTGACTTATCCAAGGTCACAAAACTGGTAAGCAGCAGAGCAGAATTTGAAGCCCAGACTTCAGATCCTACAGTTTTCCTACTTCATCAGGCTTCATACAACATCTCTTCCCCCCCCCCCCCAGGGCTTATGCATAGAGAATGTCCTCATGAATGCTCCCTCACCATCACAAGGTAAAGAAGCTGCAGGAGGGAGGGGGATGTGGGTTGGGAGGGGGAAGACCACAGATTTCTCCACTCCGGGTTTTTCTCCAGAATCCACCCATTAAGACCCATTAAGACTTCAGAAATGGTCATTTGAAAAGTCTTGAACAGAAGAAGGAAGGTCAAGGAAGATGGCCACGTGAAAGAGCTGGGAATGCCTCACCACACTGGTCCACTCTTGGCAAGGCCGGCCAAGGTGAGGCAAAGGCAGGGGCAGAGTTGGGCAGAGGCAGGGGCAGAGGCAGGGGCAGGGGCAGGGTTGGGCAGAGGCAGGGGCAGGGGCAGGGGCAGAGTTGGGCAGAGGCGGGGGCAGAGGCAGGGGCAGGGTTGGGCAGAGGCAGCGGCTGAGGCAGACGCAGAGGCAGGGGCAGGGGCAGAGGCAGGGGCAGACTTGGGCAGAGGCAGGGGCAGGGGCCAAGTTTGCCTAAACCCTCCCCAAGCTGCTGCTAAGGACTCCACCTGCTCGTGCCTCATTCGGATTGGCCTTAAAACTCCCCCAGAGATCCCCCCTCAAAAAAGCACCACGCTTTTAGCGAGGTACACAGCAGGTGGCTGTTCGCTTTCCTGTAGATGACTGCTCCTTAGGCTGAGCGATCCCCTCTGGCCTGGCTCCTCTGGGGACTGTGGGCAATGAGTATATGGGGGGGAGGGAAGTGTTGAAAAAGCCATCCCTGCAGAGAGAAGGGACTGGCCCAAGGTCACACATGTGCTTAATGGCAGAGCTAGGATTTTAAGCCAGGTTTCCTGATTCTCAGTCAAAAACCAGAGCTCTCCTGAATCAGGGTGCTTATCCATCCCTGCTGCTTTACGTGCCCCACCCCTAACACCACCACTAAGGCCAGACTTCAAAGAGAAAATGAGTCACTAAAGGGCAGCTTGAGAAATGTGTATGGAAGGAAGGGAAGGAAGAAGCATTTATTAAGTACCTACTACATGCCAGGCGTGGTGCTGAGCCTTTTACAAATATCTCATTTGATTCTCACAGCAACCCTGGGAGATGGGTGCTATTACTAATCCCTGCTCTACAGTAGAGGAAACTGAGGCAGACAGAGGTGAAGTGACTTGCACAGGCTTACACAGCTCATAAGTTTCTGAGGCTGGATTTGAACTCAGGTTTTCCTTCCTCCTAGGGCAGCTAGGTGGATAGAGCACAGGGCCTGGAGTCCAGAGACCCATCTTCCTGAGTTTAAATCTGACCTCAGATACTTTCTAGCTGGGTGACTCTGGGCAAGCCACTTAATCTTGTTTGCCTCAGTTTCTTCTTCTGTAAAATGAGTTGGAGAAGGAAATGGCAAACCACTCCCGTGTCTTTGTCAAGGAAACCCCACATGGGATCACAAAGAGTCAGACACAGCTGAACACCACATTTCCTCTGTCCACTGTGCCAGCAGCTGCCTTGTGGGCTAGCCGCTCTTAGAGGTCATCCAGTCCAACCCCCCAAGGCCCAGAGGGGTTCCTTCAGTTGGAGGTAAGATCCCCATGAAGGCTGCCTTGACTCCCAAGTCTAGTGCTCTATCTGCTAGGCCACCCTGCCTTAGCGATGCTTGTGTCTGACCCTCTCCCCTCCCCACTCTTTAAATCCCAGCTCCCAGAGCTGCTTTTCTTTCAGCTACCTGCTTCCCTCCTCCATCCAACTACTGACCTCCCTGGCTCCCTTTAAGTCCCAACTAAAATCTGACCTCAGGGCCTTACCTCCTGTTCATCCTGTATCTGGCTGCTTGCCATCTTCCCCACCCACTGTGAGTTCTTAGAGGGCAGGGACTGTCTTTGCTTCTTTTTATATTAAGCACACAACAGGTACTTAATACATGTTTGCTGACCGTCTGATCTCTCCCCTAAGCCCCAGCCCTCACCTCCAAAGGTCTGGGCGACATCTCGCCAACCTGGAAGCTCCCCCAGCATCTCAAACTCAACTTGCTCCAAATGAATCCATCACCACCCACTGACTCCCCCCTTTCTGGCCCGAGCTCCAGCTCAGTGGACCCCCATTTTCCCAGGCACTAAGCTGGCAAGTCAACTTTGATCTGTCCCCGTTAGCCTGGAAGTTGTGCAATCTCGTCCGCTTTTCCTTCCTCATGTCTCTTGCACGGTCCCATGATGGCCTGAGTCAGTCCAGGGTACTGTGAGCTCAGTAAGGTCCCAGCCTAGCTCATCCCACTCGGAACCATCCCACCTCCGTAGCTGGGAACCGTCCCACCTCCGTAGCTGGCAACCGTCCCACCTCCATAGCTGGGAACCGTCCCACCTCCAGTCCTTTCTTCCAGATGAACCTTCCTTCCAAACCACTTTCATCATGGCAGCCTCTGCTTTCAGAAACCCTCCACTGGCTTAGATTCCTTTTGGTGGGCACCTATTCCCAAGTCCTCAGTCTGCCTTGTCTGCTATGGCCCCACCCTACATGTAGCCAGCCTTATCTCCCACCCCTCCTCCGCAGGCCTCCTCCCTGCCCACACCACATTCCTTGGGGCCTTGGTTCCAAGCGGCAGTCCTTCCTCAGCTCCTTCCTACCCTCCCTTCACGGTCCAGCCTCACCAGGTCTTGTCTCACTCCTCTCACCTTCGTAGAGGACCTGGCATCTGGGTCCTGGCCCCAGGTTTTCCCTCACTCCTACCCCCCCACTCTGACCTCAGGGGGTGTCTAGTCCATTTTAGAGATGAGGAAACTGAGGCCAGGCAAGGTCAAGAAGAGGGATGGGAAGCCAGGTTTCCTGCCTCTAGAGCCTGTGCTCAATGAGAACCTGAACTGCTCTTTTTCGAGTGCCTGATAGCCACTCACACAGCGGAAAGACAGGAGATCTAGGGCCCTAAAGCTCGGAAAAAATGTGAAAATGGGAGCAGAGGAAGTGGTGGGATTTGGTGACAGGCTCATGAGGCAGCAGAAGCAGGGAGTGGGAGTCATGGACGTGGGGGTACAGTAAGGAGCTCGGGTGCGTAACAGCCCATGGGCCGGGCCCAGGACCCGGGCGGGGATCCTGGACCTCTCTTCCTTTCTGGGCCTCATTCTCGTCCTCTGTAAAGCAAGGGGACTATACCAGATGGCCCTTATGGGCCCTTCCACCTTCACAGCTAGGAGCCTCTCTCCAAATCACTCGAGTTTCTTCCTGTCCCGATACCCCATGAAATCCGTCTCCCAGCTTGGCTCAGGCTCAACAGCCCCCAAATAAATAACTCCAGGTCCTAGTGCCAAGGCTAACCTACCACCTCAGGGCAAAAGACTGCCAAGAAAGCAGCTGCTTCATCTGATGAAGGCCCCTCTCCCTTCCCAGGAGGAGTGGCTCTTAAACAAGCAAAGGGGAAGAGAATGGGGAAAACAAGCATTTATTAAGTACCTACTATGTGACAAGTATTATCTCACTTGAGCTTCACAACACTCCTGGGAGGTATGATCCCCATTTTACAGATGGGGAAACTGAGGCAGACAGCCGCTTAGGTGACTGGCCCAGGGTCACACAAGCTTGTAAGTGTCTGAAGCTGGATTCAAACTCAGGTCTATCCTGCCTCCAGGCCCAGCACTATCCACTGAGCCACCTAGCTGCCTCCAGGTACAAAGGAACAAGGGAACAAATACAAACCTGTCCTCCAATATACCAAAAGCAACCAAAAGGCTAAGGTGTCGGAAACAACAAAGCGAGGCTGTGTGGGTCCAGAAGACTCAGTGTGGCTTTTGCTTCATTTGTAAGCACAGACGACCAATGTGTCCCGACAGTATTTTGAAAACCGGGCCTAGGAAGAGAACCTGGAGCTCCTGCCCAGGGGGTGGAATGCAGCCTGGGAGACTGTGCCCTACACCTGGGCATCTGACATGCTGGGAAGGAGAGCCGGCAGGGCCCAGTGACCCAGGGAGCCTTCCCAGGTCCCTCGGGCTCCCGATCACTCACCGCATCTTCCCTCTCTGTGATCTGGCACTGCTAACCTCCATGCCTAGCGTGCTCTCTCCTCACCTCTGCCTCTCTCAGAATCCCTCTCAGACGAACTGGCCGATAGGGAGCCTCGTTCCATCCAAAGTAAGTAACAGGTGCTTAATAAAAGCTCCTCGATTGCATGATCCCTAGATATATGGAGCTGAAGGGCCCTTCACCTAGCACCTAGCACAGCCTGCTAACTGACAGATGAGGACTCTCAGGTCCAGAGGGGGCCTGACTTGGCCACCAGTGCCGGGATAGGCACCCAGACCTTCTGACTCCACGGTCAGCAGGCTTTTCACTGAATCTTTCCGTCTGCTACTGGTGGAAAGGGCACTGGGTTTGGGCTCAGAGGACCCGGGTTCAAATCTATGCTGTCTTACTTGCAAATTGTCTCACCTTCCCCTCAGTCTCCTCCTCTATAAAATGGGCGGGTTGTACTCCGTGATCTCTAAAGATCCTTCCAACTCAAACATTCGACGTTGCTGTGATACTACAAAATGAGCTTGGGAAACCGAAGGTTCCCTCCCCTCTCTCTTTCCTCTTTCCACTCCTAGGCTCTCACCTACCCCTAGAGGCTCGGCTTAAGCGGGCTCCTGAAAATGGCGCAACCTTTTCTTAGATGCCTTTGTCAGGAGGTGACTTGGATTAAGGTGGGGGCATGGTTGAGCTTTGGGGGGGAGAGCCCCTCCCAGCCTGGGCGCTAGTGATCTCATGCCCTTCCCCGCGGAGGAAACTGCGGCCACCCGGGCAGAAGGAGCCAGGAGCCGGCAGTTGTCCTCCAAATGCCACCCGCTCCCCAAAAGGCAGCGGCCCTGGGGGCTGCGCTGCCCCCACGCCTCACCAACCTCTCGGGTCCACGCCTTGCGAAGCCATGGGGATGGAGGTGCGGCCCGAGACTGCAGGACACGCGCTCGCTCGGCCCGGCCTTCGGAAATCGATCGCTGGGGTTTCCGAGCGGGCGCCACAAATTAAAGCCCGAGGCCACGCCCCCGCTTCCCAAGAGCCAATCAGACGGCGACTCGGGGAATGCTCTCCTGCCGTTCTCGCGCGCCCTAGCAGCCTGACCCGAGCAGCGCACCATTCCTCCTCCCCTCCCCTCCCCCTCCCCTCCCCCTCCCGGTCGCGGGCGTGGGGGCGGGGCGGACGGGCGGCTTGGGAAGGTGTTTCCCTCACACCCACCCTTCTTCTGACACCCAACAGCCAGGGGCTCCTAGATTAGGGGGTGTCCCACTGGGAAAGGCCCCCAGAAGTCATCTGGCCCAACCTCCTCATTTGACAAGAAGAGGAAACTGAGACCCAGGCAACAGAGGAGATGGAGGGGGACCCAGGTTGAAAGTAGCAGAGCTGAGAAGCTTGGCAGACCAAAAAAAAAAAAAAAAAATGAAGGTTTTCAAGGTACAGGTCTTCCTGAGGGCGGGCCCATGACTTGAGATCACTTTAATTGCCACATATACAAAACTTGCCACAAAAACAGAGGAGGAATTCAGGGAAGGTGCTGGGCCTTGCTGGTTAGGTTCCCATCTCCTGAGCAAAGGCTTGGGTTTCTACCACTATGACAGGCTTCGTTGTTGGCCAGACCACTTGGGCTAAGCTGGCCAGGCTAGTGGTGGCCCTCTAGGCCTGTCTCACACCTCTTTTCTTTGTCTTGGTCATCCTTTCCCGCCTTCCCCCAAATTTGAGTCCCTCCTGATGTTGCCAAGGACTTCCATTTCAGAGGCCCACTAAGCGCTGCCCTCCCAGGAAGTACTTACTCCAAGGCTCCCCCTTCCCCCCCAAAAAAAACTAAAATGGGAAGGTCATGGAGATGGGGGGGGGGTTGATGGAGCCTCTGTGACCCTAACCCCATAAAACTTTCCTCACACTATAAAAATGAGACAGTGATACCTCCCTCACAAGACTATAGTGAGAAAAGTCCTTTGAGAAGAACCTCCTTCTGGCCCTGAGTTCTTAACCCTCTGCTCATGTCCTGACTCTGGTTCTCAATTGTGACAAATTCAGACCCTTGGTCACAAAGGACTCGAGAGCCTCTTGACGGCCCTGATTCAGAGGCAGGCCCTGAGCATTGCCGAATAGTTGTGGTGATTCACGCTCCTGGTAGAGCAGTACTAGGTGGCTTCTAGGGCCCCTTCCGACTCCTGAGATCCATTCCATGAATTCCTGCTGAGGGGAAGTCAGGGGAAAGACCCAAGAGACGCCCATCTGTGACCTCCAGGAGTGTCCATTCTGGTGGGAGAGACAAAACACATTCATGTAAGGGAACAATGAACAGTACAGGAAAAGGATGGCATTGGGAGATAGTGGGGGTGCGCAAAGACCCCGAATCCAAGACCCAGGCCCTGCCTTCAGGCTAAAAGGCCCGTGGCTTAGGTATCAGAGGACCTGACTTTGAACCTTGCCTCTGCAGCTTAGCAGCTGTGTGCCCCTGGGTGAGTCCCTTGTGCTCTCCGAGCCTCCACCGCCACTTCTGTAAAATGGGTCCAGTAATCCTTGTGTTTGCCTCCATCAGCTGCACCTGATGGAGGCCTGGTCAGGAGGAAAGGCCTCTTCAAGAGCTCTCCGGGGGAAGCTAGTCCTGCCACCCATTCCTTCTCAGACTTTTTCCTGGCCCTCACTGCAAGGGAAGCCCATCTGGGCCCTAGAGCAAGCCTTCTTAACCTGGGGCTCTAGGGTTCTGAGAACTTAGATGGGAAGAAATCACATCTCTCTTTTCCCCAACCTCTAAGCTCAATGTGAGCCTTTCCTTCCCCTATGAATGTGAACCACAAAAGCTTAGTAGGAGAAGGGGCCCAGGCACAGGCTTCTTCGCTGGATTGTTCAAGGGGTCCGTGGCATAAAGACGCCTGCTTTGGAGACACATTGACCTCTTTAGCTGTCCCGACCTGAACGCTTAGCCAGCAATGATTGGCATCTCCCCCAAAGGAACTTTCTCTGGGAAAGCAAAGTGGGCAAATACAGAAGCATAGAAACGATGGTTTTCATGCCATGGCCCTGAACTCTCTTGGAAGACTCATTGCTCTTCTCCCCCTTTTCTTCTCTCGGTCCTGGTCCCAGCTGACATTTACACAGATCTGCCGTGAGTCTCAGCACCCTTCAGTCTAGCCGGGAGGGGGCTGCTAGGCTCATTGACTCCAGCCTGTCATTCCTTTGCTCAAGAGCCAATGGGAAATGATGAGGATGGTGATGGTGATGATGACAATGATAGCAGCGTGCACTTAAGACATATGTTACCTTATTGGATTCTCCTAACAACCCTGGGAAGTAGCTGCTGTTACCGTGTCCATTTTACAAATGAGGAAATTGAGTGTCAGAGAGGTTGAATGACTTGGCCAGCCTGGCCAGCCCAGACCCCCCTCCTTATTTGGTCCCATCTCAGAGGGAAGCATGCCTTCCTTTGGAGCCCCTCAACACCCCCATCGCCATGCAGTCCAGACCCTGTGCCTTCCCCTCCCATCGGCCCTTGCTCTCCCAGTGGCTCTTGGACCGCTGGACAGATGCGTGGCTTGGCTCGCAGCTTCCTGTTGCTTGTGTGGCCTTATTTTGGAAGAGACCGAGTCTGGCGCCTCGTCTGCTCTGGCCCAGCTCTCAGCCTCCTGGACAACACTGACCTCATGTGGTCGCACAGGAGGAAGCTTTCTTGATTCTTTGTGTTTCCTTCTCTTCCAGGAGACGCTCAGCACTTTAGACCGCAGGAAACCCAAAGGACCGGGTAAGAAAGCAAATGACGATGTCTTCATCGGAGCGCTTCCTCAGCTCTAGGGGGCCGCAGGGGAGGCCTTTGGGAAAGGGAAAGGGAAGCAAAAGTCTTGTTTCCTTATATGGTCCCCCCCTTTCCCTCAGATATTCTATTGATAAAATAGGAATGGAGGAGAGCAGGAAGGGCTAGAAAGACCTACTGACTTGATTTCCCTTTGATGTGCTAATCATAGCTCACCACTCTAGAACCCAGTAAGAGTGCCAAGGGCTCGCCATATATTAACTCCTTTGGCCCTCATGGCAACTCTGTGAGCTAAGTGCTCTGACTGTCCCCATTTTACAGAGGAAGAAACTGAGGCTCAGAGAAGTTCCTTGACGTGTTCAGGATCCCACAGCTAGGAGGAGCGCTCAAACTCAGTCACATAAGTCAAGGCAAGAAGCCTTTAAGTGCTTGTTATATGCCTAGCCCTGCCCTGTGCTAAGCACTGGAAATGTAAACATGAGCAGATAATGAGACTGTGGCTCCTCTCAGGAGAGCTTCCATTCTAATGGGGGAAGAAGACATATAAAAGGGAGCTGAAAAACAGGGGGTTGGGGGACAAGTCCACAGAGTCTGAAGTGGTGCCAGGAGAGGAGTGAAGGATAGCTGCCTGGACCCCAGGAGGCACTTGAGCACCCACAGGAAGAGTAGGACTAGGGAGTGGGGCAGAGGGATCTTCCAGGGTGAGGAGGCAGCTGAAGCCTGGTGGAGACTTCCTCTTTTCCTTCAGTTCCTATTTCCCTGAAATTGCCTCCCCCAGCTTATGCTCCCTGGCCACCCACCATTTTTGCAAATGTCTTGTGCAAGGCCAAGCTAGGAAGGATTTTATCATCTTGAAATAGTGATAAATCTCCTAACCAGGTCCCAGACTTCTCTAGTCTCCTTCAGCCAGTGACCCCCTCCCACCCCAGCAGTATCAGTACTTGTAAAAACCTCTCCTGGGCTGCGGGGGGGGCTGCGGGGGCCTGCGGGGGGGGGGGGCAGAGAAAGAGAGAGAGACAGAGACAGAGAGACAGAGACAGAGAGAGAGAGAGATCAGGAGCTCGGGCATCTGGTTCTTTCAGAGAGCAGCTGGAGCCCAGCTTCTCCTTCGTACTCCTCACCCTCTAGGGCCCTCTATGTATCCAAGAATCAGCAATCAGGCTTCTGGGATGGCGTGATGTGGCTCTTGTGACTTGCTGGTACTCCCAGCTGGCTGCTCATGGCAGTTGTACTCACTGACTAATGAATAGATCATTTCCACTCATTCCTGTGTTTTCCAGAAGAATACTAGATTTCAAGTCAGAGGAGTTGGGTTCAAATTCTGGCTTGGCCATTTACTGGGTGATCTTAGGCCTTGCTTTCCTCATCTGTAAATTAAAGGGCTTAGACTTTGTAACCTCTGAGGCGCCTTCCAGCTGCACTTTTACAGATGGCTCATCCTGCAGCCCCGCGCTGGTCAGGAGCTGGAAGTCAGCGAGTGTCGGCATACTTCAGTTCAGTCCCTCGACCTGACTGCCTCGTCTGGTCAGGCCAGGCTCAGGCAGTGGGGACTATTGACAACATATCAGTGATTCATCAGTGAGGAAGGAGCCCTTACCGACAACCTCATGAATCCAGAAAACGTGGCTCAGTGGGTGGTGGTGAAACCCCACAACCATTGAGGATGCCTGCTGGGTAGAGGAGGAGGAGGCCTGGCTTGGTGCTCTTCGCTCTCCAGCTGACTTCCCTCTCCCTCTTCAGATGTTCCTGGGGCTCTCTCGTTTGCCCCCTGCTGTCCCCTACCATGCATCATCCCCATGAACATGTTGTATATCACTTCCCTTCCTCAGTATAATGTCAACAGCTCCCTGGGGGGTAGAGACTGTCCTTTTGAAAACATGTCCAGTAGGCACTTAATGATGTGTTTTCTTGCTGGGCCTCAGTTTCTTTTTCTGTAAAATGAGGTGGTAGGATGGTGGTGTGACACCAAGGTCCCTTCCAGCTCGGGAGTAGGTTTGGCTTCTCTGAAATGAGGTCTGCCCAGAGACCATTGATCGGCCCCAGCCGTTAGCCAGGCACCTGCTGACAGGGTCCATGCTGATTTGCCGAGCTAAAAGAAACAAGTAAGTCAGTAGAAGCCGCAGTGTCCCAGGTGTCCCAGTGAGTCAGGAAAGGTGGTGGCCCCGTAGCCTTCATGCTGCCTGCTGTGACGATGATGGGGGAAGGCCAGGGAGGCAGGAGGCTAACTCTCCTTCCCACTCCCACAATCGGCGGGACTGGGAGGCCTGAGGGGGCAAGTCAGAAGCAAGCAGGGCCATTGGGACAATCTGCAAACAGCGTTCCTCCCACCTATCAGAAATCTCTCTCTTCCCCAAGCACACTGCGTCCTTGGCGAGCCTTTCCACTGGAGGTCAGGCCACTGCCCCCACTCCCAGGGCCAAGAGGACAGACAACTGGCTGGCCATCGCCCCTCCAAGGCCATCGCTCCATTACCATCCCTGGTTGGTCTTCCTTCTTTCACATACAGTCTAGTGCCACCCTTTCTCCATCCTCCTCACTGTCATTTAGTGACCTCCAGGTCATCATCCCAATTTATTCAATGCCTTCAGTACCTGGCTCACAATCTTCCTCTATCCCATCTCCTGCCTTCCTCCTTGGGGACTTCAATGTTCATGTTGACGACCACTCACTTCCTCAGCAATAAGCACCACCTTCTCCAGTTCACTTCAGTTGAACCCCGAAACGGTCACGACTTGCACTGGGCATCCCTCTTTCCGTCCAGTGCTAGCATTAAAGAGGTTCGGGGCCTCCGGTGTCTCCTTCGGTGGTCCACCATTAGTGTCCCAGGATGGGGTTATATAATAGCAGCAGTGAGTGAAAATCCCCATTATATTTGGAAGGTTAAAGCTGGAAGGGACCTCCGAAGACATCTAGTCCAACCCCTTGTTTTGCAGAAGAGGAAACAGCCCTGACGATGGGAAGAGCCTTGTCTGAGGGCACACAGTGAAAGTTGAAGGCACCACCCCGAGCAGGGTCCTCTTACTCTAAGCCCCCACATAGCCAGAGCTCACTACATCTCCTGGAAGATGGACTGCTCTGGGGAGAGCTGGGGGAAATCTTGTCCCTTTAGGATCCAGGCACAGATGAACCTGTGATCACTGGTATTGGTCAGGAGCTGAGCACGTAGCTTTGGCAGGAAGACAGAACCTGGTCAGGAAGGGGTTGAGACCAGTAAGTCTGAGGAGGAGCAGAGAACACGGGACCGACTAATCCTGGGCGGCCACGGGGGCAGGTCATCCTGAAGAGTCGTGCCCACTGGGGGAGATGCCAAAAAGCAAGGAGGAAGGGCACCAGAGGGAGAGTGACACTAAAGACAAAGGCCATGTCTTTATTCCCCCTTTCCTCTGACATTGTGGTATTGGTGGAAGGTCATTGCGCCTGGAATCAGGAGGGATCTGGGTTTAAATCCTGTCCCTAGTACTTTACAGGCTGTGTGACTTTGGGCAAGTTACTTACCTCTCAGTGCCCCAGGCGACTCTCTTAAACAAGAAAATCCTAGATCTGGTCCATCCTCCCTCCCCCCAATACCCCCCAGGAATGGTTGTGTTTTTTTTAATTTATATTTTTCCAGGAATGTTTTGATGATCAAATGACATAGTGCATGTAGAGTGCTTTGTAAACCTTAAAAGATTTTATAAATATCAATTCTAGGTTCTTTCCTCCTTCCTACCCTTCCTTCTTTCTTTCCTTCCTTCCTTCCTGGCATTGGAACTCAGGAGGACCCAGGTTTTCTAGTCCCCAGCTCTGCTGCTAATATTAGAGAAATCCCTTTGGCTCTCTGGCCCTCACTTTCCTGGTTGCTAGTGCATCCCTCTTTCCCAAAGCCCTTTGGTATGGGCCTCCCTCCTCACTGGTGGGAATGATGAAGACCCGACCCTGCCCTGCATAAAGGGGCGGGGCAGAGTCGGTGAGAGGCAGCTGAGCTCCCACCTTCAGCAGTCCCTTTTGGGAGTTTCCAGGTCAAGTCCCAGGACACATGAAGCTTCAGGTCTGCTTGGGATATCTGCTTCGGGTCTGTCCAGCTTCAAGAGAGAAGGTGGCAGATGCCACCCCCGCTTCAGGTTGCTGTCTTCTCAGTCTTTTCTGTCAGGGGCCTCTTCCATCTTCTCTCTTGAAGTTTGCTAAGTGCCCGAAGGGGACCGGCCGATAGCAGAAGCTATCACTTCTCCAGCCCCTCACGAAGGGCAGGGCATTCGTCTGCACCGATGGGGAGAGAGTCCCAAACTAATGGTCTCCGGGACAGGGGTTACATAGGATAAAAGGGTTATCCCGTGATCCCTCAGGTGGTCTCCCACTTCTCTCATTCTGTGACTTTGCTTTAGCTGCACCTCAGGTTGGCCTGTGAAGGAGCCAATGGAGTCGTTTCCAGCCTTCGCGATGGAAATGGGAAAAATGAATGGTTTGGCTCTATTTTGTCCATCAACGTCATCTGCATATGTGAGCCAGAGAGCATTGATTCTGACTAGATGATCAGATTCTTTGGAAAGTCTTGATGCTGATTTAAAGCAGCATGGAGGCCTGTCCTCTGCTCTGCAGGGGCCTTCAGGCTGAGATCAGATTTTATGTGTCATTTAACCTGTGTCTAAAGTAATCACAATTTCCAGTCAAATTACAGTGGAGAGAATGACCAGGGCTTTCCTGGAGACAGTAAAGCTGCCTTTGTAAGCCACTTGTGGAGAGGACTAAAAGTGAACACGCTCAAAAAGGTTTGGTGAAAGGCACAAATGCCTCCTTAGCACTGAATGTGATAGAAAAGCAAAATCTAGAAGTTTGTGAAACATGTAAAAAAGTAGAGGAATTCTATAGTGTAATTCCATCAATTATGTCAAATGTAGCTATAGAAACCAAGGAAAAGTCGCCAACAACCGGGTTATTTGAATTCAGCCCGAAGTTCTAGAGTACCTGCTCTGTGCCAGGCATCCTGCTAGGACCCGGAGGCAAACCCCAATGTA